CTGACAAATTACGATTTTAACACAAGCGCACAGTTCATAACAATTAAGCTGTTCTTCTGTTTTGGGGATTGTTTAAGGTCCAGTGTATGGCATCTAGCAGTAATGTAAGTCATTTGATACTGGTCCCCAAGGGGAAAAAAGCAATAGGTTTATCTCTTCCTTTGTTCGAGGTGCAATAAAGGGACGTCATTTGCACTGAACTTTGACTTGACTGCAACGCTTAGCAACACTTTATCACGGCTGCGATTACAATGGTTTGATTTGAACAATTACTTCTCTTTTTTTACTTAGTTGTGTGTTTTAACTGTTGTGATTAACGTCCCCAGTCTTCTTCTATGTTGTGTTTTTGCCCTCTACCGTAAACCAATCCCCTTGAGAGACAATAAAGATGAACTGAACTGATTGCCACTGAACTGAATATCCCTCCGCTCACCCCGCTCGACTCTGTGTCAGAGAATATAAAGTGGCCTTCAGGTAACGTAACATGCAAAGGCTATGTCTAGACCTATTATTTGGTTTGTCCCTTATGGGCTACTATAGAAAAATGTCAGTGTGGAAGAGGACTCTATCTCTATATGTGAATAATGCTTAGTTTCAGCTGATAATATGCTATTGAAAACTTGTGAATACGGTATTTTATTTCTGCAATGAGATTAGGCTAAATCCTAAACACTGGACCTTTAACCTTAGACCTTCAAAGGAAGCACTGCATCTAAAAATATTGGAGGATTTGGAAAAAATGTTGCTTTCAATGGTCAAAATGTGTCAAGGAGAGGCAAAGGTTGTCCTTACTTTTAGCCATGGGTCATTGGGTCAAGCTTCAAAAAGTCTTGATAGATTTCATAAAGCACTAAGGCTAGCACCACCAAAAGAGATCATACAATTGTTTTCAGATGCTGAGTTGTCTTGAGTAAGCAAATGTAAGTGTAGAAAACCGTGCCCCTTTCATTTTGTACCTCTTAGCACATGTAGTTTTTACTGAACAATGTATGAAGAGTCATATAGCACTTCATGTTTTTATATAGCAGTTTTAAAAGTTCTGTAAGAAAGTTGATAAAGGGGGTATTTTGCATACAAAAAAGCCAATGTGGTGTTTTAAATCCACTGAAGCAAAAAGTGTGCAGTATGTTTTTCTGCTTGTTTTGCTGCAGCTGTCAGAGCTGTTGCTTCAGTCCAAACTGGATTCAACTTTTTTTAACCTCTGGCTCTTGAAAACAGAGCTAGCATGCCAGCGACAGAAGTAGAGCAGAACATCACACCAATGAGTAAGAAAGAGGAGAAAGTTAAGAGAGGACAGTTCAGAGATAAAGGTTAGGAAGTTGAAGGATAAGTGAGAAAGACAGTTGGGGAGTGAGAGGCAGAGAGAGAGAGAGAGAGAGAGAGAGAGAGAGAGAGAGAGAGAGAGAGAGAGAGAGAGAGAGAGAGAGAGAGAGAGAGAGAGAGAGAGAGAGAGAGATATCCATAAGCTGCCCAGTTTGGCTTCAGTTTAGAGAATTGAAAAACAGGAAATCAATAGTGGAGGCCACCCAGGCAGCCAAATAATGGAGGCTTTAGAGAGGCAAAAAGGAGAAGATGACCACACATTAATAAGGAAACTGCTATTTGGGGGGAATGAGACTCTTTGGATTGTGTGGCTTGGTTGTGGGATGAGAAATAGACAAAGAATGGGTTCTCTACAAATGTGCATGCAATGAAAACATCATCACTTTAAAAAAAGACTCATGTCGATGATGGTTACTTAGTGAAGTAATTAAAAGATAACAATGTAATGCTGTTTTCCTTTTGGCTTCGACTCATATGGCTCTAATGTGAAATCAATATTACTATGTGCAAGATTGAACTGCAGAAAATGTAAAGGAAAATTAAAATGTTGGACAGAAAGACTTCACAGTATCTGCAACCTATCTATAAATCGCTACAAAGTCTTCAACCATTTTAGTAAGGGTCTAATTTGACTAATATATAATGTTAGTTGTAATTAATGTGAAATTGCATGTGTGTATTGTTATGACAGTGTGTGAATCAGGGCATTCAATCAGGTAAATAAGAGCTGTGTGTACAATATATCTCAATGTATACCTAACTGTTTAATTGACACAAAATCAAACCTGAAGAGTATACACACAGCCGGTAACACTTAAGATAAAAGCTTTGAAACCTGCAACCCTCTCTGCTTGTATCCTTTACACTCCTCTCACTCCGTAATAGAGACCTCCCAATTCGTCAGTAATTCTTCATTAAAGTCTCACCCTTTCCGCTGGTTTACCTCTCCCTGTTGAAGTCATCCAGTAATTGAAGAGAAGTGTGCAGTCAGCTTCCTCCTTAAAGGTCACATGGAAACAAAAGAAAATGTCCAACTGACAGTAATGGCTACGCCGGGATTGGATCCTGCACAGTCGCTGCTAATTTCCCCCTGAACCTGACCAAATGTCAGCAGCACGCCTGTGAGAGGCTCCTGCAGCAGAGTGTCAGTGTTTAAAGACAGTCAGGACTGGAGTCATTAGATATGGTATAACAGGGGATTATACCTTATGTGTCTCATAGAGTTACACTCAAAGAATATTAAATAATCTCAAGACAGGATGCATGCTAATAACATGTATAAGGTATTGACTCTAAATAGGATGGAGAGTGATTATGTAATGATACAGTATAGTTAACATAGGAACTTGTACTTTCCCACTGGGAAAATTATGCAGTCCTCTTAAATAGTGAAAAGTGGAATTCAACCGCCTTTTACTTATATGGTATTTTCATGGCTTATTTCCAATTGTTGCCACATTTGAAGCATAACAGTATTTTTTGTGTTTAGGTATTTGGTGTTTTGTGAAGATCTGAGGTTCTTGTGATCTATTTGCATCACAAATCATGAACATTGTCTGTGTATGAGTGGGTGTACAGTAATGCATCTGATGTAATTACAAGGGCTCAACATATTAAATAACACTAATAAGTGCCTTTACCATTTCACATGGGTTACACCAGCGCTGCCTGGAAATGTGTGTTTTATGACACATGAGAATGAAACTGATCCTGTGATTACTTTGGACATTGTTACCTTCTATTGCATTTACTGTATATCTGAGATCAATCTCCACTAATGGATGGTTCAAAATGGTGCAAAGTAGGAACCAACACATCATAGCTTTCCTAACAAATGTTTACCCACACTTGTACAGTAGAAGATGTAACAGTTATGACAGTGCGGAGAATCAAAGTGTCAAATAAAGCTACAGGGACGGTGTGTATAACTGATGTAAGCCAATCGAGGCAGTAAGAATGGCAGCTTCCTTGTTTGTTGAGCTGTAAGGAGATTACTTACCAACGGCCACAACATCTTGTCCTCAAAATCCCTCTCTAAAATAGGCAGCCTCCAGCAAATACAAATCTCAGCCTCCTTGATACCACCCAATCCGGCACTATTCCTCCCCCGGTGTCAGGATATAATCAAGACAACATAAAACACAATAGATTGGAGATACTGACAACCACAACAAAGAGACAGCTCTAAAAAGACCTTACTGTATTTCAGCCGACCCAAAGAAGGAAAAAGAAGAATCATATACTCTTTCTAACTAACTGGGAGACAGTGCAAGTAAAGAAAAGTCCCTGTATGTCCACATATTGCATGTATTATTACCATGAAAGCATTGATGGTTCATATAGAAATTATACGATTCAAGTCTATTTTTTTTTTATCAAGATTTCTGGATCTATTTTTGGTCTATCGGTCTCAGGAGATCTCCGTGTGCATCTCAAATGACCCAAGGATGTGCAAAACCAAGGCTCAGAAACTCTGGAGGAAAAATCGACAGTGGATGTAAAACGAGCATTACACAAGGACACACAGGGCAGGTTTTAAGAGATCTTAAAGCTGTCTGTAACCCAGCAGGGCTCTTCAAAGTTTCAACCACCTTGACAGAGGAGAAACTTCTAAAACAACTTCTTCACATTTAGATGCTAACTTCCTTAGTTTTGTCTCACTTTGAGCAAGGAGGAGGGTTAGAGATTACGCTCAGCCTGGCAGCCGGCCAATTTCAGTGTTTGAAGATGTCTTTTGATCATGGCTACACGTTTTCCTTTTCACAACATTAATTAGTGCAGCCGGCCCACAAGACTCTCTGCTGCCATATGAAGCCTCTTCAGTTAAATTTCTCCATTAGCGAGCAAACATGATCACATGCAAACACACACCCAAACACTCTCAAACACATTTGTTAAAGTAAATGAGATTAGCTTTATAGCAGCCCTCTGTGAGCAGTAAACAGACGTCTACATTACTTTAAAACATCAGCAGGATGTTAAGACATGGCAGAGAGCCAGGAACATGTAAGAAGACCGCTAACCAACCTCAGCTTACACTCTCATCCATTGCATTTAAAGTGGACCTATCATGCTATATTTGAATAATATAGTGTAGGACCATACCTATATAAGGCATATTTATACTTTTTTTTTTTCAAAATACCAAACAGATCATGCATTTTAGCCATGCCTCATTTTGCTCAATTTGACATTTTTTATCCCTGTTTTAGCAAGGGCAGATTCTGTGAGAACAGCACCACCTACAGGCCTGGCATATGTACTACAGCGTCTCCAGCGCTTTCGAACGGCAATGGCCGTGGCTGTCTCCTCCTGATTGGTGGAGTTGGCCCAATAGCCGTAGCGCCACTGTCCTGACGTCAGGACAGTGTTCAAATCTGGATCAGTTTTTATCAGATCCATTGCAGCCCCTTTTTTAGAGATTTGGGTATGGAGGAAAATAGAGAGGGTTGTGTTTTCTGACACTTGGTGAGTTCCCTGGAACACCGGGGACACATATTCATGTATAAAAGACGTACAAAAGTGCATTTTGCATGATAGGTCCCCTTTAAACTAAAAGTGTATCATCTGATTCTGATTTCTGCAAAATCTAACACAGTGGAAATATATAAATAAAACATCTCTGCAAACAATCCGTCAACTTTTCATCCATCACGTCAATAAGCACACTACAGGTGTTCACACTTTGTCTAATCCAGTTTATTCTTTCTCAGTAAAAGAAACTGTTGGAAAGGGTAAGCATTAAGTAAAGCAATGGAAACAAAAATATAGAATTCTTCCACGTTCATCTTCCCATTTTATAACCACATTACAACCAAAAAAAAGAAAGCAGCTCTACACTTAAAAGTGAAAAGCAAAAAGGAGTTAAATAAGGTTTTCTTTAAAGATACAGAAAATTCATTCATTATGCATTTTCTCTTCATCCCTTCCATAGTCCACCAGGAAAACATTTGGAAAGTAATTATTTGCTGATTTGAACTTTCAGTACTCTGCTCGCCCTATCCTCCTCCTCCCTCTCTATAGCAAGAGAGAGGGAGGAGGGGAGACAGAGCGGCTGAAATAAGGAGAAATAGAGCAATCAATAAGGGGCGAGATGAGAAAGGAAAGTGAAAGGCAGGAGAAGGAGAACGCATGTGAGCTCATCATGCTGGCTGGAAATGAAAACATGGGGCATTGAAGTACTGAAAACCCAAGAACAGTCTTGTATCAAATCCCCTTCAAAATGTGGATAATTGAAGACAATATTAGAAACCTGAACTACATAACCATCACCCATCTTAAAACAGGAACCTCTGAGTGACGCTCTGCCAGCTCAGCTTCAGCCCAAACTCAAAGTGTACAGCAATGTGTGATCTTGCCCTCAATGTGAACCGCTGAGAACAAAAAACATAAAAGGTGTGCGAGTGTGTGTGTATTTGGAAAACTCTAAGATGTGTGGAAGTGTACAATGCAGACATTTCAGGTCCAGTCACGAATCACTTTAATATAAGACATGCCCTGTAAATGTGGTCTTCCTGTTTGTTTGTACACACCAGCACGTGTAAACCTCATGTTGCTGAAAACAGAAGACATGTCCTTATGTAAGAGGGAGGAAAGAGAGAAAGACTGAGACAAAAAGAGGAAGACAGAGGAAATCTGCGACAAATTAAGCCTCGATAAATCACATCCGAGCATTGAACACAGATCTGTGTGCGATCTCAGGACAACCAGCTCACTCCCACCACCATAATGTGTTTGAGTCCATCTCATAATGCAAGTCCTGAATATTGGAGTTACCGACGCGGTTTCATCGTCCACAGAGAAGAAACGTTTCCAGAGTAATCTTAAACCAAACAAAAGGAGTAAAAAGGTGTCTGTAGGGGAAGAGAGAGGGATGCAAGTCAGTGAGGGGAGGGTTTAATATCCTGATAACCTGAGGTGGATGATTAACAGGTCTTTCTAAAGGATTATGGGTAGTGGACGGCCAGGGGGTAAGACACTGACTTAAACCGAGTCTGGCTTGCTCGGTTTGCTTCACAAAGTCCATGCTTGGAGTACAAAGCAGCTCTGTCTGATTTTGAGGTAAAGAGCACAGCGCCATAGCAGAAGTGTACACAAATGGTAACAATCCTTTTTCCCGCCTTCTTTTCATTCTTTGTTGTTTTGTTTTCATTTTTTGAGGTAAAGAGTATAGTTATATAGTATAGAAACTGGCTTCTGGGACAAACACCTGTATAAAGCATTTCATTATCTTCTCATCATCCTTTTCTTCCTTCTTACTCTGCTCACACTTGAGTTGTCAGGAGTTGCAAAAAAGTGAAGAAATTGTATATTTCCTGTTGCTCTGTATTGTTCTGTCATTCCTGGGTTTGGATTTTCCAAAAGGCATCTTAGCAGCAGGGATATGATCAAGCAGAACAGAAACGAGTGTGGGTAACAGGAGCAATTAAAAAGAGCGAGCATAAATTAAAAGAAAAGTGTGGAGGTTTGTATCCAAAAAAACCTGCAAAAATGTTGATAAACAAAATGAGAAGAAAACTAAACTTTAAAATCAGATCCCTGTTGGTGCTAAGACACCGTCCGACCACGGAGACTCTTCCGAGGGAGCAGATCAGGAGCACTCCTCTCCGATGCGCTGGCAGGAGCGGCCCACCTTGCGGTCGAGCTTCACCATCTTCAGGACCGCCTCCTGGCGCCCCCGGCCCAGGTGGTCGAACAGACACTCGTGCTGCTCCGGGAGCCGGTGGAGCATACAGAAGACATAGCCTGCAGGGCGGGGCGGGGGGGCGGGCGGGGTGTAGGAGAGGGAGAGTGTTAATATGCTTAATGTCCATTTACTTTAACTTACTGAATTTTACTTACCGCAATAAACCGTATTTAATTTTGTCTTCATTTACATTATCTAATTTCATATTCTGTTCTTGTACATATCCCATATTCTATTGACTTTTTGCACTACTTTTTATTTTGTATTTTATTATTTTTGTTGCATTGTTGGAGGAGCTCAGGTCAGAAGAATGTCATTGCCATTTCTACACTGTAGCTTTGTGCATATGACAATAAAACCTTTGAATTGAAGAACGAGACACAGCATGCAGAATAGAGAGTAAGATATGTAGACAGTACATAAACCATGCATCTATACAAGAAGGCTATTTATTTGAACATATTGAAAAAACTGTAGTTAATACAAAACGTTAAAAAAACACAACCCTGTAAATGCAAATACAGGTTGATTTTGCAAGTCTTTTTCAATAGCCAAGGGCTGATAATATGTATTGCTTTGCAACCATTAAAGGTACTGTAACAAGACAAGACATATCATTGATAGCCTCCTCTTTTGACTCAGTTCCACAAAGCAGAGTACCCTTCATCTCTCTCATTGACTCCCTGTCTCTACTGTATCACTCTAAACAAAGGCTCTGCCGCTGTAGGAGGCTCGTTAAGCTCACAGAAGCTCGTTAGCTCACATCGTCTTAAATTCATTCATTAATACACATAATAACACTGCTGGCACTCAATGAGCGGTGATTAAAAGCCCAGTATGACAGCTGGTTGCTATGCAATTAAAAAACGATGTCATTACAGTGCACACAAATGGAGTGGAACGTTGTTTAACATTTCATGGTTTAAAAATGAATGCTAGGCACGGTCATAAACCAAGTAAGGGGTGGGCAACAGTCGAAATCTGAACTATTTGTTGCCTATTGCAATAAGTGTACAGAAAAATGCTTTGATGACAAATAATGATGATTCTTAAAGCACTTTTTTTTTAGCTGCCTGAAACTCATTTCCATTACATCATTTGTCTCAGAAGTAACTGCCCCCACAGAAAATAAACTTTCTTTAAAGGCACTGATAAGATATTTAGCACTCTTTAACTACAATATTTTCAAAAGTAAGGAAGAACAAACTGTGATTTTGTGATACCTCCATTAGAACTACTTATCAAACATTTAACACCATGGTCACTTCGGATGATTTATTTAACTGAACCAAGAATCCAGCCGAGTTGTAAAACATCAAGAGGAAATGTGGTGATCATTGGAATGGGATTTATACCTAAACTCATGTGTGTTCAGTGAGCTTCAAGTTTCCAAAGTTTTATTGCATAAAATCCAAGCTGTGTTAAATATTTATTCTACCTAAGGTGAAAATGAAGAAAAGCAATTTCATAAAAGTAGCTTAAGAATGCACACACACACACACAAATGCACACACACACACACACTGCAGAAAACTTTTAAACATAGTTATTGTAGGAAAGACATGAATTAATAAACGTGTTATGTAATTGAGCATTTTTTGTTGTTGTGTGATTACATTTGATAATGATTGAATGATAACTTACTCAATTTACAATGCATTCAAAATACCACAGCTTAATATCCCATACTGGAGTCAGATAAGCAACACAGTTTACTGTGAATTGTAGGGCTTTCCTTATTTTAGGACCATTGCAAAATGAAAGAAATGGAAAACTGCAATCTGCATGATCTAATGAGCTTTTTAAGTCTTTGTGCCCTCTCTGACATACTTACATCTAGTCAGATGAGTATTATAGTCACTGTGTAACAGCAGAAGTCACCGGCTGTGACAACATTGGATAAGATACTCCGCTCTATTTTTTCTCTCTCATTTATTATCTGAGAATCGTTCGTGCTTTCAACTCATTATCAGACCTTCTTGGCTTACGCTGAGAAACATTTTCCAGACCCATTAGCAAAGTAATCTGCAATTACCGCAATAGTCAGAAATCACTATAATTGCCACCATTTCCCCTTCAGTGTGTAAAAAGCATGTTTTCATTTTTTCCGTATTGGGCTATTAAGGATGGATGGCCCATGAATTAGGCAGCGCCTGGTGGAAAAAAAGGAAAGTCCATTTCCAATTTAGAAATGATTGCGTGGGTTTAAGCAGATGGTCTTTAAGAAGTGAAGAGTTGTGACTTTTTAAGTACTTTGATTTGTATGCAAACAAGTTGATTAGCAAGCCAAGTATTGCTTTCAACTGCATTAGTTTTCGTGGTAATTGGCTTATGTTTTATGTGCTATTTGGAACATTCAGGCTTTCTGTAATGCTCCCCTAAGGCTGGCAAAGGCACTCTGGTCATCGATGTTTCCATCAACAGACAAACACATGCTCAGGTAGGAGATGCATTTCATTGCACTGGATGTAAAATGAACAAACCTATAACCAAATTAACTAACATCTTTCATGTATTTGAAACAAAATAAAAAACAATAATAGCTACCAAATGCTCTTGTGTGTGAGTGGGCCTGTGTATGCAAGTGTATATATCAGATCATGAGTTAATATACGCGTTTTAAATGATGTGTTATACGTGTAGAGTTGTATCATCGTACCACAGCGACAGGAACCCAGCTCTTGCTGAACCAGCTCCAGTTTGGTTTGGCAGCGATGGCAACGTTTGCGGCTCCGCTGTTTGGAGCCACTGCGAGACGAGGTTGATGATGATGCAGACATAGATGACGATGAAGACTCCTCACCCTCTGGCACGTCCCCCACTCTTGCTCGCTTCTCGGGTGAAACATCGCTTTCTGACTCTGAGGCTAAGAGAAAAAGAGAAAACATGGCTGTTAGCTGCACGTGGAGCTCCATAACTGCAACTCTTAAATTATGTTTTGGATTAAGATTGGGCTGAAATGTGTCTACAATGCAAAAGTCTGTCACACAACATATTCACTACTGATAGATAGGGATGCTCCGATCGGCAATTTTGGGGCCTGATCGCCGATCCGATCGAGTGGGCGGGGCCTATGGGGATCTTCCATTTAAAGTGATGTTTAAAACTCAGTTAATGGGGCTCATTCACTGGCGCTTCTACAAACAACAACCAACATAATTATTACATTCAAATGAAGTACATTATTCAAGTTTACATTAACTTTGGATAATAACACGGGAGAAATTAGCGGAAGCCTCTCTTTTCCTCTCTCCCCCTCTCTCTCTCCTGACAGCCTGTCCCTATCCGTCTCATGCAGCTCACTGATCCAGTAATGAGTGACCCGACAGTGAAGAATAAATATATTTATAACTAGTTTAGCTTGTTCCAGAGGTAGAGAAAATAGCTAAGTGTGTTAGGTCTAACTCTTAATGTGTGTTCTGCTCCGCTCACCGGTCCGTCACAGCGGGTGGAGCTGCAGGATTTCTGCTTCACACACGTTGCATACCGCTATTTTATTGTAATTTTCGGACACTTAAAATACTGCCAGACTGGTGAAGCCATTTTGGCGAGCTTGTTTTGCCGTGCACAGAGAAAAGTGTCATGTATTTTACGTCATAATTTTACGTTATGCGATCGGCTCTCGCGATCGGCATTTTTAGAGAGCTCCAATCGATCGGCAGAGAGTGAGTATCGGCCGATATCGATCGGCGGCCGATCGATCGGAGCATCCCTACTGATAGAGAAAAGATGGTCTACTGAAGATTTGTGTAATAATGGCAACAGAAAATATCTATCTCTGGCAGAATATACGCTGTAAGTAATGTGTTAGAAATTGACCAATTGATGTCACCCCAGCATTACCATGTGGCAGTGTTAATCGAAACAGATTTAGACAAATGGATAGCTATGAAGAAATCTGTATTCTGTTGTGGAAAGATATAAAAGCATGTGAAGGTTAGTCGACCTCCAAGAGAATGTTTTAAATAATGAATCTAGCAATATAGTTACAGCCAAAGCTTTTTAACCTCTTATTAGACCCCTTACCCATATAATTATCTTAAAAAGCATTAATCTCCTGTGTGTCCGGGACAGCAGCTTTTAACCAGAATTTAAAGAGAGAGACACTGACGACCTTCATAAATAGGCTCCAAAAACTTCAATTTAATATAAACTAGGAGAGAACAGATGTTGGCACGTTGGGACAAAAACAAATCTTTATGTTAAATAAAAAGGTGCTTTGGAGATGAATGATTACCCTGCATTAAATTACATTCCACCTAGCACCTGAGACAGTGAGAGCGTGTGGCGAGGTTCCACTGGTCGGCTGGAATTTAAACTCAGCGTTTCTCATCAATCCTGTAGACTTTTTCTCTGGCCCGGCCGAATGCTGATCAGCGCTCAATAAATCTCTGAGAACTAGGCCAAGCTGAGCAGCCAGATCCCCCCCCAGCCCCCCCATCGATCCCTGTATGTGTGAGAGCATGTGTGTCGGTACATGTGCAAGTGCGTGTTGTGCACTGCCTCCTGTTATCCTACTAAATCTCCGTGGCCAATTTACACCAGGGGAAATGTCAACAAGTGGTTTTTTTTGTGTGCGTGTAAAATATTTGAACTATAAACTGATTTAATAGGGTAATAAGCTTGCACAAAGGTGTATGCAGGCTTTAAACTAAAATACCTTTAGATAGTCTCAGGCACATGGATGCGTGTGCTCACATGATCCGGCTGCATTAGACAAGGATCAGCATGTTCACACACCATCGCTGAGCTTTGCCTACTCTGCACTTGTCTTAAGGCATGTGCCAGTTTTTCACGTGTGTGAGTGCAGTAGGTTGTGTCACCCTAGGGTCAAAGCACAATAAAATATATGTACACTAGAAGAAAGTGTGCAGTGTATAAGGTTAGTTTAAAGAGGCCTTTGATGCTTTTGGGGCTTTTCCCTTTCTTGTAATATGTAATATAGGGCATGTAAATGGTCTGCAGAGGCTCAAATCCCACAGTTCCCTCCTGAGGGAGTTTCTCTCCCACACACTCCCCCCCCTGCTTGAAACACCTCGATTGAACTCCTTCGTTTACTTCCGCGACATAGTGACATGACTAAGTAATACTTGCGCTTCTATTGGCTAGCGCTCCAACACATTGTACGTGATAGGCTAAGGGGCGGGACATCTCTAATCACAATACAGCCGGCCAGCTAACCAATCAGAGCAGATTGGGCTCTGGTTTCAGACAGAGGGTGAAAAGAGGTGCTGCAGAACAAGCAGTATAAGAAAAATAAATATATTTTTGAACATTACAGCATGGAAACATGTCACAGTAGAGGCACAAAATACACATATGAACATTGAACCCTTTTTTAATTATTATTTCAGTTCAGCTCTCTGCATGCTCTATGTTTTAGCTCTCTCAGAAGTGTGTCATTGTGAGCTGGTTTCTCTTAAACAAAGACAAATATTTCTTAAATGTTTGGAAAATTGATCTTATTGTGGTGAAATGACAGTGACAACCATTGAGCTACATTGCTCCCATCTGTGTGACCTTTACAATTTGTATCTGTATTGTAAGTCTATTTTATATATGTACTGTATGTATATGTTTATATTAGGGCTGTCAGTCGATTAAAATATTTAATCGCGATTAATCGCATGATTGTCCATAGTTAATCGCGATTAATCGATGCTAACAACAACACGTAACGGCCCGTCCACACAGCAGCGTTAAAAAATCTTGGAACGCTTCTGCCCATTCACTTTGAATGGGGTGACGTCACTTTGCCTCACTTTTCGCCGAACTGCATTGTGGGCAGCAGAGCGGAGATTTTCAGGATTTTCAGGATTCAAAGTTGAGCAATGTTCAACTTTTGAAGCTGAGGTGGAAGCGTCAGCCAATCAAATCCCGTGTACGCAAATCTGACAGTTCAAGCGCTAGTCAATCAAACCGCGTGTATGCTGGGAGAGACATACCGCAGGTCATTTCCTCATATTCCAAAAAATGGAGGAGAAATTAGCGGTAGGGAATCACCCGGTGCTTTTATGACCAGTACCTACCGGGATATAAACCGGAGGAGCCAGGCATGGAGGGAGGTGGCAGAGACAGTGGTAGGTTTTCGCCTGTTTGGGGAGTTTATATCCAGTTTACTTCGGGCTTTTTTGCTTCGTATGTCGGGGGCGGGAGATTCATGTGATTGGTTGTTGGTGCCTTGCTCGCAAAACATTCCCAAGCTTCAGATACGCCCACCTCCAAGATTTTTTTAACGCTGCTGTGTGGACGGGCCGTAAGGTGTACCTCGCTCGCGAGTCGCGCCACACATACACACACCCTCCCGGTCCTCCCGATGGCCAGTCCGGGCCTGCCGGTGAGAGTGGAAGTGTGGTCTGCCACAAGCGGGCGGCAGGAGCGGGGCTGTCAGCATCAGCTTGTAGATGGTATTTTAAACTCGATGCGCTCTGAAACTACGGGGCGGCCGAGGACAAAAAATACACATGCATTAATCGCGTTAAAATAATTAGTGCCGTTAATTATTTTACGCGTTAACTTGACAGCCCTAGTTTATATATTTGTAGCCAACATTTACCCTAGTAAGCACTTGATTAGCTTTACACATTTTCACAGATACACTCTATTGCGTCCCCAATATCCTTCCCTCTGCTGGTTCCACTGGAAGTACAATTAACCTGGCTATTTCCGATCGATCCACTGGCGTTTATGCTAATGGTCCCCCAGTCCAATACCTTAAGTGGACATGGCAAGCAGGCAGTGAAAACACAATAATGGACATTGTGCCGCACCTACCTGACTCAAAGGAGCGTTTTGTTGGAGTGGAGAGTGAACTGAAGACTGTGTCTGTGCTCGATGCTTCTGAGAGAGAGAAACAGGGAGAAAAGGGAAAAGAAAAGGAGAAATGATGTGAAGAGAAAATAGAAGAAAAGAGAGGACATAGGAACATTAGTTTCTTACTTGTAAGACTTTGTTCATATCACAGATGTACAATAATATAAAATGTGTTCTGGCTTTATTGATTTAGAACAAGGCAATAAATAACTCAACAATAAATCATCTAAAGAAACAGATTCAATTGCAAACTGCATAAAAGTCCTGAAAATTTAAACTATGGAACCACGAACACCAAAAATAGAAGCAAAACAACGGTATAAAAACATGATACCTCTGACCGCCACTGATTGACAAATTAAGTTGAGTTGTTAGGTTACTCTAAAAAAGGGACACAGTTTATAATTGTTACAGCCAGAGGACAGAAATGCTTTTTCTTCTGTTGGTTGCCTGGATATTTTCTATAAAAACATGACTGGGTTGTGTGAAATCCTTAATAATGCCGTGAGCAATTTTGTTTTGTTGTTGACGTTTTTTACAGAGAATGTGATAGATAACTGTCAAGGACAGACACAGTTTGAATGTTATCAGATTAAAACAAGCAGAGGGACGGCTGACCTATTCTTTAATAGAGTTTAACTTGAAAAAAGAGTAAACACAAATTAATGTGTTTGTCAGGTTGAAAATTAATTATGATGAAGGTCATTTTCTAGCAAAAAATCAGCAACAATCACCTACTTTGTAAAAAGCCCCTGTTGTAACAGAGGACCCCGTTAGTATGGGCACATTTTTTTAGTACATTTATTTGGTAGCCACTTTATTGTCCTGTCCTGGAACGGCCTCCACAAATAACCTTGTCATTGTACAGCAATGACCGATGAACTGGCAATTGCAGGTGTCCTCTTAAAACCTTCACTTCTGAATGGATACCCTTTCCTATCATTCTCTCTATCTGTGCCATGAGGACAAATATAGCCGGAGCAGGGGCACTGCAGCTGCTGCTCGTAGAAACTGGTAGTTACACAGAAAGGTGCCCTGGACTGAAGCTACACTACTCTGGTTTGACCTTTAAAATGAAAGAATGTACATTAAAACACACTTCTAACTGTGGAAGCAAGTATTACAAACCAGAGAGATCGCATGACATAGACCTACAGTTCTACAGGAGTCCATAGTTTAAAATAAAAATGGAGGCCAAGATGCCCTTGTCCTAAACAATTTCAGATGAAAAGAGACATTTTATTCCTGTCAGATTACCTGCTGTCTTACCGTCCTGAGCGGGTAGAGATGCCGCTCCCGTCTCCTCTGGCGACGGGTCCTCTGATGCTTTCGGCATCGACATCAGTGTCTGACTAATGCTGCTGTTTGGTTCGTTACAGAAGACGTCTGCTTGGCTACTGGAGCTTGAGGAGGCCTTTGGGGCACAATCATTGTCTGGCTGTTTCTTCTGAATGTCTGTGAAAAAAAGTCAAATGATAAGACATTTGTGTGCCTCTCTGAAACATTTTTGAGTGCATCTATCAGATATGGGGTATGGATTGTTTATTTATTTGTGCAGCAGATCAGTGAAGTGTGGCATATGGGGAACTCGGGGGCACCTTTCAATTTCATTTCAATATTCGAAATATTGAATTAACTATAGCAAACTGAGTAAGACGGGACAAAATATTCTGATGTGACTTGAGCTAAGACCGACATGAAAATGTTTCAAAGAGTATTGAATTAGTTAGAACATAACACTCCACTTTCTCTCTCAGACTTTCTACACTTTTCAAGGTCTTTTGGGAACATCTACAGTGGAAAAGGTTGTTGACCCCCTCCACGGCACACACATTAGACACAGAATAAGGCGACCAAACAAGCAAACAGTAAAATAAGTACATACCTGAAAAGCATTTTGAGCAGAGATTCTTAGTTTTGCTTGACCTGAGAAAAAGAGCAGAGGGGAAAACAAATGTGTTAATCACAAAGCTTGTATAAGATTTCCAAAAAACTTCAGAGCAGGATGCAAAAAAAATGCATTATGCCTTTTGCTGGTGGGTTTTCACACAGCAAGAGTAACATGTTTCAACTTCGAGGCTCAGACTTCATTTTTCATTCGGGATCTTGGAAGGGAAATCCAAGATGAAGGGTGTGATCCAGGCTAGTGTTAAATTATTCACTGAATCCAAAGCTGCCATGCTATGTATGAGGTTGTCATGGTCTAAGCAGCTACTGGCTTAAAGGCTAGGTATGACTTTTCTGCAAATCTTATACCAAACAGGAATATCAAATAAAAAAACTCAGTTTACATATTAAACACTATACAGTTATTTCACCGTTTTCTAAGTTGTACGCAGTGAACACAGTTATTACAGATTAGATATACAGCAATCACTTTGAACCAAGATCAAGCACCTTTCAATATTAACATTCAATCAGATGAGTCTCATTGTTTGTTCAAACAGGCTCACAAATGCTTTCTCTAAATGTGAGAGTCATAGTAAACTAGTGTTTAGTGAAGAATGACTAGCATCGACATTTTATAGCAGGAAAATAGTGTACGTATATTTATCAGGTTGCAAAAACAACACCCATGAACCTATAATCACTACATCTGTGGAGTGTTTGCTGGTAGGTAAGTGAAGCTAACAAACCTGATAAACCAGAGCTTTGCGTTTGAACTTTTCAAAACGCAGACTCGTTGGAGACCATGTTTTCTCGACTCTTTGTGCCCCCGCTTGTAACCTTACAATGAGTTGAATTAAAATCACATGTTTCTACATGTTTTACTGTAGTATAGGAATTAGTAGTAGTGAATATACTGTCTACAATAAGTCAACAGTTATCAGTAATATTAAGAATATTCGGTTGTCTCTGTATCATAGGCAATGATTCTATACTCTTAATACTTTTAAATCCAGACTAAAAACGTATCTTGTTGCCGCTGCGTTTGAGTGAGCTGTTTATATCCACACTGCAGTATGGCTTTTATTCATGTTTTTTATACCTGTTGTGTTTATTTTATTATCTTTGGTTTTTATGCCTGTTTTTAAATGCCATTTTATAATGTGTATCTGCTGTATTTATTCTTAAATGTCTTTTATTTTAATTTGTAAAGCACTTTGAATTAGCGTGTGCTGAAAGGTGCTATATAAATAAACTTGCCTTGCCTTGCCTATACAATGTAGAGTAGCGTAGTGTCTGAAAATATCAGTATGGTGGGACAAGTTGGTTCAGTTTTGCAACAAACAGTTGTTCTCTCACAGAAATGTGTGGCTTTTCGCATGTGTGTTGGCTGATATGAAAACTACTTAGCTGGTCTAAAGGAAGTAAGAGGTAGAAATGGAGAAAAATGCCCAAATTCCTTAACTTAGGATCCAATGTATGGATTGAGATATTTTGTATAAAATATGTTGTTTGATGACTGATCACTGAAGCCTTGCTGATTCCAGCAGCACAGCTCTATTACAACAGATGGCTCTTTCTTCTGACAGGGCTCCTCTCTTTGCCTCTGCAGCCCTCGTCCTTACTGTCTGTGCATTGAGCGTGACGGTCGCTGCCATCAGTCACATTCTATTTATTTTGGGTGCTTCGTTGCACACCGTTGTCCTCATTTCTAAATGTAGGGTCAGCTGCAGCCAACCTGAGGGCTGTCTGTCACTCTGCCGGTGTGTGGTCTTGAGTATAAAAGAGAAAGTAGAAAGCAAGAAGAAAGGGTAGAAGAGAATCCTCATCATGGGACTCGATCAGGGAGGAAGTTGGTACTGAGTAAACAAAGTCATATCCTGTTGCCAATCCGATCCTTATAAATCAGACGTAATCAAATCACAGGTTAATTAATGAACTAGACGGGTGAGAAAGGATGAGGAAAGATACATGCAGGAAAGAAACTGCTGAGTGAAGTTTGCACAATCAGTGAATCTCAGAGTTGGCCCACTGCTGTTACTAATGACAATCTCTGATTGGAACATAAAGGAAGATGGGCTCCGTTGCCTTGGTGATGCAGTTGAGTGACAGAAAGGAGCATGGCTTGAGTGGGAGTTAAATGTTTTGAGGGAATTAAGTTCAACTAAATTCATCTGACATGAGCAGTAAAAGTACAAAATAACTTTAGAAGTACAGATATAAGTCTATTAAGAGAGCATTCACAGTCATTTGGTCGCCCACACACATGGCTGACAGTGATATGAAATCTGAGATCTATGAAATAAAATAACAACAGTAGTGATCAGCTCTATTATATATTACAAGGGATGAACACATCAGGTTTTGGTCCCTCAATAAAAAAGGCAGCACAAGTGAGTCCATCAAGGATGCAAAACAGCTAGATGTTGTTAATGAAAACCAATTAATTCAATACTAAGCAGTTTTGTTGTGAATAACAATGTCAGGCTTAGTAATAAACTAATTGATAATGGAATTGCTTGACTAATCCATCAATTCCCCACTGCATTTACAGTAAAAATCTTTGTTACTGTTCAGCGCCATACATATTCTGCACTAATGTGAAATCCTTACAATAGTTTGGCCCTGTATTAGTATGGATTTAAGAAACAAACGTCTTTCTCATGTATCCAACACAGCACATTTCAAACAGGAGACACAGCACATTACAGAAAGTATATTTTGTCAATATCACGAGTGGATTTGTTAGCTTGAACAGATGTTGCTAGAAAGTTATACAGATATAACTAACCCTTTAAGATCTCTAGGCCATTGCCACCAATGTTATATTGTACATTATTAAACATAACTACTTTATGCCGAATTTGAATTATTTTAGCTTTATCTTAGGTTTTGTAACCCCCGTATTGGCCAAAATCTAACAGTAGCAACAAACAGAAACTGTGTATTTAGCCATGGGGGATGTTTGTTGTTGTATTGGTTCATGGAGGAGATTACAGCCCCATGTGTAATTTACTTTGTGGGACAAGTTGTAGGCAAGCTACACAGACACATACACAAAACTAACAGAGACCCAGACAGTCTACACCTGCAGGGAAAAGGAACATAACACTGATAACACTGAAAACTAGCACAAGCAGATCTTAAAGAACTAGGCTTCCCTCTGATACACATCATCCTATCTGCCAAAAAGAATCATCTTCACATCCATCAAATAAGACATCTAAAAAAGGCATTTAATGAACTTGCTTTTTGGTTCATTTTAAAAGCCACAATCTACAGGTCTTCCAAATGTGCTATAACCCACATTTTGCAAAAGCACTCTGCAGTAAGATCATCATTAAAAGAAAGTTGCTGATTCCATATTTAACAAAGGGATACATAAACATGTCCTTCCCCTATCTTTTTTGCTTCCTCTTTTAAAGATCACTTTGAGACATTCAAGCCTTCTGTGCTAAGGGAGAAATAACAAAAGGTAGAACAAGCATTAATCTCTTGCTAAATGTCAAATGATATTGTCTATTAGCTACAGAGCACCAATCACAGACACACATGGTGTACTTGAATGTGCCTCTTCAAACAAGTTTGAGGCGGAAAAAAACATGTGGAAGTTAAAAAGTCAAAAAGTGTGCCTGATGCTATAAAACAACCTGAAGGAAGTTGTTCTTCAAATGTAGTCATACATCATGCTGACAAGTCTTGAGCTTGCAAAGCAACTCACAGGTGATTCCAGCCAATTCCCATTTTTTCCCGTCCTAAATCCAATGACATAACGTAATAGTCCTCCAGTCCTATGGGTGATCCAAGGACACACAAACACTTTTTTTAACCACAAAGCCTGAGAAGGAAAACATCTAACTTAGGAAATGGATTTCTAAACAAAATCCATCAAACCCATAACAGGGCTGCCCCATTTCAAAGGCCTATGCCTGCAGAAGTGTGAGAAATCTAACTTTATTTTGCCCAAATTTGGCAGGCACCCCTAAATTCCACATTCCATTGTGATTTGTTATGAGACAGCCTGTCAATTAATCAAATCAGAAAATATCATGTGACCACACATACTGTAACAACCAGAAATGTAAACAACATTATTTATCTAATGTCATTCAATGTTGGGTGTTTGCAGTGAGTTGTATACACCTTTGTGCAGTACCGACTTACTAAACAGTGACAATCAAAACTGTGACTATGAAAATCTTAAATGTCAGGAGACACCTGACTGGCACCCCAAAAGGAAATCAATAGACCTACAAAAGTAAGACAAACTGTCACAATACGTATAAGGAATGTGTTCAGGTGCTCATTAATTACTGGTAAATGTTTCACTTTGAGAGGATCGTTGACGTGTTCCCACAAGTGCAACATTGTGTGGATATATTAAACATTAGCCTGGTACACTGTTTGACAATTCTTGTCGTTAAGAGACACAACTTGAACTGAATCTTTTACTCTTCAAACTTCGCCCAGGTTTCCAGGGTCAGTGTTGATCATAAACGTTTAAATGTTTAACTTAATGTGTTGATGTATGACTGCAGCATAAGTACAGAAGGAGCAGTTTGGCCCTCATATACTCTGAAGCAAGGTGGTAACTAAAAACAATTGACATTATCAGTAAGTCTGCAGATTATGTATTTAATTTATTAATTTCCTGGTCTTTTGAACATTAATAGATTGAGAAAAAGTGGAAGTTATCTTCTTATGAAAATATCTTATCTTCAGTCCAAAACCCAGATATTTAGAGATCAAGAAAAAAAGTGTTTTACATTTAGGAAAGTACAATCAATATACTTTTGCCTAAATTTAAAATAATGAATATATAAAACAATGGCTGCACATAAATGTTTTTCTCCAGATCAGCACATTTAAGTCAATTTATCGGTCAAGGTTTTGTTTTTGGTTGCTCTAGTCTAGAGAAAATGAACACATACTCAGTGGAAAGCACCTCCAATGCCAATACAGAAGTGGACCTGTTTCTTATCATCAATGAGGGAGGTGCATTTTAGGATCAGGCTTGACTTTCAGGCAACACTATAACTGATAGCAGCTCTGATAAATGAGGTTAACATTTTCATTTTAACAAATAATCTGACGCATAGTCTACAATGTGAGTGACACATCATTAACTAACAACTTAATTCAAACAACACTAACAACAACTGCATGAGCATTTATTCTGCACGTGATGCGGTAAATGCTGGGTACAAATAAATCAAAAGGACAAATAAGACTGATATTATATTAAGAACGGTAGTGAGAGAAAATTGTATTATCAGTGTCAATATCACACATGTTACCTTCTGTCTACAACATAGCAGATTTGCTCAAAACGGTTGCAAATATTAGGGGAAATAAAATGGTCTTTTGTAAATGTGAATGATGTTTAATAAAGAAAAGATGAGCCAATAGAGTACATTCATCCAAATATACTTTAAATACCAAAAGGGAAAGTACTCCTTATACGTAATATATTTTCCCAAGAGCCATCATTGCACTGAACTCCTGAACTCATACCCCTTAATCATCCGCCATGTGCAATAAACGTGACTCTGTACATATATACATATATATCATTATTATAATATATATATTTTGAGTTACTGAGTTACTATTATATCATAGCTAGATAATGTAGAGCTAATTTGAATAACTGTATAGGCCTACTGTTACAGGATATTTTAACCTATAAATATTTGTCAAAGTGTATTTCATAATTGATTTACATTTCTATATTAGCTTATAATCTAAATAGTAACTAGTAATTTAGCTGTCAAGTAATGTACTGGAGTAAAAAGTACAATATTGGCTTCTAAAGTGGAGTAGAGATAGAGAGTAGCATAAACGGAGAATACTCAGGTAAAGTACAAGTACGTCCAAATTGTACTATGTACAGTACTTAAGTGAATGTACTTTGTTGCTATCCACCACTGCCTGGTATCCACCCAGGTCCAGTTTATGGATTAACTGAGCTGTCTTCTGTGCTGTCTGCTTCATGTATTACCTTAATATCAGTTTATTAAACAGTTTATTAGCTTTGTCACACATGGCATATTACCTGAGGAGCTTATTCCACACCTAGCCTGCTTTGTACCTCTTTAGGGGAAGGTTACCGAGGCAGCTGGTGTTAGCAGCTAGCAGTTAATGCTACAAAACAATGGGGAGGGGGTACTAACAAGAAAAGCAGCTCATCCCTGTTTGAGCTGCTAATGCTAGTGGCTAGCGACTCTGCTAGCAGTTGACAGACGAAAAAAAGCATTTGCTAGAAAGACATTTGATGTGTATATGTGCTTACCCCCAGAAACCACAGTGGCATCGCGGGGGAATCACGTTAACGTTACTCGGAGGCTTGCTGCCCTCGCGCCCCGTGTCCCCCATATCAGTCTTCCGCGTGAGGCTCTCCGCGTAGCAGGTGAATCCGAGGATGGAGTGAGGGCCTTTGCGTTCAGATCCCCCTGTCTTTGACACGTACAGAGGCAATACCCCGGCCAGATTGTCCTTCAGATATGTTCACTAGACGGGGAACGATTTGCCGACACGAGCGGCCACTGCCTCCGTTAGATTATAACAGTTTAAATCGACGGTGAAACATTGGAGTCGCCGAAGCCAACGACAGGCAGAGCCACCGGGGAATCCTGGGCCGATCAGCTGGAGTGAGGAGGGAACCACTGCCGGAGAGGGGGGCTGTGTCGGTAACTGCACAGTTAAAAGATAAATAACGGGACAGAGATTAACAAAATAATACAGTTTAAATGATTTTAGATATTATACAGGGTTAAGTGTATCTTAGATTCCGTAAAGGTGTAATCATGATAATTACTTTAGCTAACTTGGTATGATCCGTACACAACTATCTTCCTACAACTAGAAAGCCCACAACTCCGTGGTACAGCATTCAGTACTGTAAGCAGGCATACATTTAAAGAAGCATAAGATCACATTTCTATTTGTAGCCTACTTCTTAATGGATAACACTTTCTCATATATGCTATTGTTAAACTGGAACCATCATTTAGTAGTAATAACATTCCAGCTTTGTCATTACTGATGACCGGTGCTTTAAATAACATTTTTTGCTGCTAGCTTGAAGCGGATTTATAGTGAACATTTTTGTATCGTAATTCTGACATGTCACAATGCACATGTGACATGCATAACAAAGTTTAATATGGAGCATTTCTATTAAACGATTTACAGTAAGTAAATGATAACACTGAAAACTTGCACAACACACCTGACCAGTCTAGAGACACAACATGCTGCTGCATGGTGTGTTGTATCTCTTTGTATTCATTGTGTGGCTCTAACTGGTTTGTGTGTCTCTTTTAAGTCATTTTGCATCTCTGTGGTGGTTAACATCTCTAATTTTTAGTAATTTATTGAGATGCAAACTACTACATAGTATTTTTAAACTCTTCCTAGTAATTTGTGTGTCTATGTGGTCCTATCTTGTGGAAGTTTGCAAGGTTCAAGGTTCAAGGTTCTTTATTTGTCATACGAACATAGCTACAGAGTAGTTATGTCGATGAAAATCTTAGGTCACAGGCTTCTCCAACAGTGCAACACAATAATACAGAAAAATAGAAAAATATAGTGCAAGTAAATATTAAAAAGTAAATACAAAAAGAAAAATAGTTTAAAAAAAGTGAAATAGTGAAATAAGAATCTATATGCAAGCTATTGGAATAATATATTAGATAAATAGATAGATAATTACTAAGTAGCAGATGAATGTTATGGATGTTGTTTCAACAGTTCAGGTGTTTAACAGTCTTATTGCCTGTGGGATGAAACTGTCTCTGAATCTGGTGGTTTTTGTCCGGATGCTGCGGTAACGCCTGCCAGACGGCAGCAGACTGAACAGTTTGTGGCTGGGGTGATGGGGGTCTTTTATAATCCGGAGGGATTTCTTCCTGAGCCGCTGGGAGTATAGGTCCTCCATGGATGGCAGCTCCGTCCTGGTGATGTTCTGTGCAAGTTGCAGAGTATCCTGGAGTCCATGTTGAACCTCCTCAGCCTGCGGAGGAAGAAGAGCCGCTGTCAAGCTTTTTTTGGTGATGGTGGTGGTGTGAAGAGTCCATGTCAGGTCCTCAGTGATGTGGACCCCAAGGAACCTGAAGCTGCTGATTCTCTCCACCGTAGTCCCATTAGCCGCGTTCACACCGGAGTACTTTTCACCGTACTTTTCGCGTTTAGTTCCGTTAGTATTAGTATTTAGCACTAAGTGCCGGCACTAAATACGGCAAAGTACTTGGTGTGAACACGCCTATTGATGGCGATGGGGGCGTGTCCCTCTCTCTGCTGCTTCCTGTAATCCACAATCAGCTCCTTTGTTTTTCTGACGTTGAGATGGAGGTTGTTATCCTGGCACCAAGATGTCAGGTTTTCGACCTCCTCTCTGTACGCCGTCTCGTCGTTGTCTGTGATCTGGCCGATGACAGTCGTGTCGTCAGCAAACTTCACGATGGTGTTGGAGCTGTGTATTTCCACGCAGTCGTGAGTGAACAGGGAGTAGAGGAGAGGGCTGAGCACGCAGCCTTGAGGAGCTCCGGTGTTGAGGATCAGGGTGGAGGATGTGATGTTTCCCATCCACACTGCCTGGGGTCTGCCCGTCAGGAAGTTCAGGATCCAGTCACAGAGGGTGCTGTTGAGCCCGAGGTCTCTGAGCTTGATGACCAGCTTGGAGGGCACAATGGTATTGAAGGCTGAACTGTAATCAATGAACAGCATTCTCACATATGTGTTCCTCTGGTCCAGGTGTGAGAGGGCAGTGTGGATGGTGAGGGCTATGGCGTCGTCTGTGGACCTGTTTGCTCTGTAGGCAAACTGCAGGGGGTCCAGAGAGTCAGGGAGGGAGGAGGTGATGAATGATTTGACTAACCGCTCAAAGCACTTCATTATGATGGAGGTGAGTGCTACTGGGCGGTAGTCATTGAGGCTGGTGATTTTTGTCTTTTTGGGGACAGGAACGATGGTGGAGTGTTTCAACTACTTTTTTTGTCACTTTGACTTAATGTCCCAGTCGGCACTCACTGTGATCCATGCATGCTTTTTTCACTATGAAATTGAAATATTTTCATAGGAAAACAATATCCTCAATGGAATGCAGCCAATACACCTACATTAACACAAAGCAGAGTCTCTTCCAGAAGGAATGTTTTTGGTTTATTAATTGATCTTTGGCTCTTCCTTGTTGGAACTAGGATGTCAATGTTGGCTCAGCCGGTCGAATGGGATGTCCTTCAGTCTGTTTGTCCAACAATTTATTACACTGCAGAGTAAAAACAACTTGACAACTGTTGGATGAATGGCCTTGAAATTTGGCATCCATTTATCAAGTATCATCATTCAACAAGGAAGAATACCAATAACTAGTGTTCATTCTTGAAATGTAATTGAGCAATAACATCACAGGTAACAATTTCCACAAGATAAATTGAAAACACTTCTAAGCCTTAACTGTACTATACTAACAGCCTGCTTACATAAAACATGTCACATGCTAAACATCAGCATGTGCTGTTTCAATGGCCCTGGCATTGTTCATGCTTGCTCACTGACATGTCTTTCTAAAAGGCTCTAAATACAACAGAGCACCAATGCACCTATGCTCTTCTATTTTGACAAGTTAAAAATCCGGCTTTTAGTAACCATGCATTTTAACCTGCCTAATGACTAATAATACAAAAACAAAATACACACAATATTTTGAATGTGAATTGACTCTTTTTCAGGTAATGCCAAATGCAGGCATGTTTGTCTAACACTGAACCCCCAAAGGTACACACTTGACCACAGTATTGATGGCTTTTCAAATTGAAATCTGAGGACATTATGAAACATCAATTTTGAAAAGAGTATGTTTTATACAATAGGTCACGAAATTGCTGCTTAAAATCATTCTCAATCAAAAGGTTTACACGTGAGACAATCATTTACTTACAAAACATCTGCAGCTTGTTATGACTGAAGAAACTTAGATTTAGTATTTAGCAGACATCACAGATGATTACAGCTGTCTGTTTTCTAGCTTGGGAATGAGGGCTGTTTCATGTTCACAAATATTGATGGTGCTGTCTGCGGCAACAGAAATAGCATCAATGAATCCTGTTTTTCACCTCAAAATGACTTTCACAAGAATGCAACACTTTACTTTAGTGCCAGGAGGTTTGGAATCCCCTCAGCAAGACCTGCCAAGAAGCAGCTTCTGTCTGCAGGGAAGGACAAGTGGGCCCTGGGTGGAATGAAGATAGATAGCTGATAGTTCATTAGCTAGTTAGGCACAGGGAGGGGTGTACCACAGAGGATTGCAGAATCTCATTTTTCAGTGGCGCTAAGAGCCCATATTCCAGTGCAGGGCCAAACAATGCAAAGGCTTAGCTGTTGTTTGCATCTTGATCTCAATCACATATTTTCGTTATTAACCTCTTTCCGCCTAAAGACATTGGATTTCTGAGGGTATATTCTTACAAATAAACAGATAACAACAGTAATTCGGTGTATATTGCCATGGTAAGACTTTGGCCCCATGTGGAGAAGTGGTTGTTGCTTCTCCCCACAGCCTGAGTCCAGCCTCAGGCTTGGTTGTCCTCTAGAGACTTTCAGAACACCACTTCAAAGACATATCCCCTCTCCTAACATACCGTACCCTCTCTCCTCTCCCCTGCTATAAACACAAGAACTTAAGGAATTAATTAGACACTGGATCAAACACGGGGTTAGTAAATTCAGCTCACTGAAGAAACCAGGAATAGTGTAATCACATGTTGGGTGTTGTATCACTTGTCATGTGTGATATCTTTAATATGTATGTGAAGACCTGTATTACATTTGAGATCTAGCATGAGAGGTAACCCTTGACAGGCTCTTGACCCTTCTCCTATTCACTAAGGGACATGGATAGGGATATTTTGCAGGCTTTGTTCCTCACACTAAGGGACAGCACTACAGCTCTGTGAAATTGCTGGGAAAAAACGTCTTTGATATAGCAACTTCTCCTGGACGGCCTACTCTCTAAAGATAGTTTCTGCCATAAGGGCAGCTCCCAAATTCATTTTCCCATGGCTCACATCAAAGAAGCAGAAGTTCTGATAATCTGCGAGACACAATCCTGTTTATGTTAAAGGTGAAAAGGTGGGGTGGTTTTGCAGTACATTTTATTTAACTCAGTATGGCCTAATCTCTATCCAAGGTGTTACTTCTCCATCCATTCCCAGTGTTACAAATATAATATCTTTATTTATAGTAACAAATCATAGCCTGCTCTGAGCATGCTCGAAACCCAGCTGCACTCGCATTACTCCATGTGTCGATAAAGAGAGTTGATTCATGGCTGCTAAGATGAGAGGCAGCCTCTCTGCAACAAGCTAAAGATGGATTGTATGGGAAATCTATGTGAACACATTTGTCCATAAATGAGAGTCTGTCTTATCTTTTAATGCCATGCCTAGATAGGCAGGCCGGGTGTTATTGACTGGAGGACAAGCAACATGTCACAGCTTGTAGATTTGCTCTGAGGGGGTATATCAGAAAACAGGATTACCTATTAGTCAGTTAAGTGTGAAAACAGCACTATTGATTTGAATAAGAGGGCTATTTGGACTTTGGATATTTGCTCTTCAGTATATCTGAGAGTGAAACATCCTGATGGCCAGGTTC